CTTCACATTTGCAGACGACCACAGTATCAACTCTAGTCAGATCGCTTCCCCGTCTTCTTGCGACTGACAGCTTCAGTCACGTGATGATGCCGTTCCAAGAGTTCTGCAAGATCGTGCTGCCCTCCAAGGCGGCACGGCAAGAACGTATCGACTTCAACATTCCCACGGAGCCACCGGTGTACATCGCTGGCATAGAAGAGCAGATTAGTATACTGCCTTCTCTGCAGAAACCTAGAAAAGTGACATTAAAAGGTAGAAGTTACCTTTATATTATATAAATTGTAATAAAATCCAAAAATAGAATTCAAATACCGGTGGGCAAAAACCTTCAAATTTTTTCTTAAATTTTTATTTTTCTTTCAGGTTCCGATGGCAAATCCTACATAATAATGTTGAAACCACGCGACGATCTTCGAAAGGACTATCGTTTGATGGAATTCAACGGAGTAGTGAATCGTTTCTTGCAAGATGCGCCGGAGACGCGACGGCGACGACTGTACATACGAACTTACAGCGTCCTGCCTTTGAATGAGGAATGCGGGCTTATTGAATGGGTACCGAATTTAGTGGGACTGAGGCCTATATTGATGCATATTTATAAGCAGAAAGGTAAGAAAGATAAAGAAAGAAAGAAATTAAAACCATTTATTCTTGCGCAGAACACACATAACATAACTAAAAACTACAAAAAATAAACAACATAACATCACGCCTTTTATCCCCGAAGGGGTAGGCAGAAGTGCACATTACGGCACTTAATGCCACATGCCAATGTACAATGTAACACCCACTTTTCACTATTTATTTTATGAGTCCCATGTAATAGGGTGTGAGCCTATTGCCATATACCGGGCATATTTCCAGACTCCGTGCTACTACTGAGATTTTTAAAAACCCAGTAATACTTTGCCCGACCAGGGAATCGAACCCGAGACCCCTTGCTCAGCAGTCACACTTGCGACCACTTTGCCAACGAGGCAGTTATCAAAAAATATAATATAAAGCTTATACTTGTACCAAAATAAACGCAATGACAAATAATGTACAATGATGGGTTTTCTTTCGTCTTAGGTATTCACACAAGCAATCGAGAGTTGAAAGAAATGATGTGTGCGAACAAAGACCCGGTTGAGAAGAAGAGACGTATCTATGAACAACAGTTGCTACCTCGACACCCTCCTGTCTTCCAAGAGTGGTTCCGAAGAGTGTTCTCCGATCCTTATGGATGGTAAATATGATACCAACTTTAGCAGCGTTTAGAAAAAATATTAAAAATAATTTGAGATGGGTTAAAATTATGGTGATTTTCAACAGGTATCAGGCAAGATCTGCTTACATCAGAACTACTGCTGTCATGTCAATGGTTGGATATATTTTGGGTAAGTTGTTCATAATCATTTATAGCGTGTTGCTATATGTATGAAAAAAATAATAATCCTATTTCTTTTACTAGGTCTAGGCGATAGACACGGAGAAAACATATCGTTTGACTCAACAAACGGCGACACAGTGCATGTAGACTTTAATTGCCTGTTCAACAAGGGTGAGGCGTTCGAGTGGCCAGAAAGGGTTCCTTTCCGACTCACACACAATATGGAGGCGGCTATGGGACCTCTCAAACATGAGGGCATGTACAGGTGAGTGAATAATAATAATAATTGTTCTTTTCTGACCTTTAGGTAATTTTTAATTGGAACTTCACCATTTCATGCCTAATTTAAATAGCTGGATCGGTATTTAGTTTTTGTAAAGAAAAAGAAAATAAAATTCAATCAGAATTAAGTTTATAAACGTCTCCAATGCACTATAAATAATGGTAATGGGTTCGCTCACATCGTATCTGACATATAACATTTTAGGAAAAGTAGGTGTTAACATTTAATATGTGAAACCCCTTGAGGAAAAACCAGTGAATCTGGTTTACTGTTAGGTAGTTTTATTACTTTTATAAATAATCCTTGCTGACTAGTTTTATTTTATCCAATAAAATAGAATAGGTAGTTAAACTACATATATACAACATTTACTTGCCTTGCAAGTTCACTTTTCAATCAAAACAACAACATAAGGTTTTTTGCTTGAAACTTTTTGCCGAGACGATACTAGAAAAAGCAAATGATGTAACCTTTTCTATTATAGATAGACGATAAAAAATCCTTTATAGAATATGCGTTGCCTTTTGATACTATTATTTTGCTTTGACGGCGCGTTGGTGCGGTGACTGGGCAACCGGCTGCCGTGCAACGTGTCGCGGGCTCGATTCCCGCATGGAGCAATTCTTTGTGTGATTCATAAATTGTTGCTATTGTAAGTAGACCAGACATTATGTATGGTGCCAGCTTAGTGAGTAGATATTTGGATAGCTACGATGATAGTCACTGGAAAGCAGTTAAAAGAATTCTCAAATACCTAAAAGAAACAAAAGAATATAGTCTATACTTCACTCCTAAACAACCAAATATAGTAGAAAGCTATATGGGTATGAGAACTTGTATGTTTGTAAATGCACACAGGAGAAAATCTTAGTGTGGGGCAACATTTTTTAAAGAGAATAAAAAAGAATATTGACTTTTGATATTTTTTGTGGTGATATTTGGCTAGATTTTTTGCATCTTATTAAGAACAGTAGATGGTACTAAATATGATTATTTTGTTATATTGTGTTATTGTGCAGAGTATTTATAGACATTTTTTCACAGGAAAACCTTACTTGTACCAAGTACATGGGACCATATTAACAATCCGTTTGAAGATTATTAATGGACTTCAAAGTCAATGACTTGTTATCTACTAATTGCACGTTTTTAATAAACAATCTAGATGTAATCTTAGTATTGGGTTTTAAGATGGTTATCTTAACTATTTTTATATATTATTTTGTCTCTACGTTGTGTATGTCAGGTACTCACCTGAAGGTTTACAGTGCTCAAATGAAATGTAACACTTGTGACATTTTTAGTTTCGCCTGGATCTCTTTTAAATAGGTTCAACTAAAAAATGACGAGTTGTAATCATTTGGTACAGCAATTATGTTGTTACATTTGTTATTTGAGTAAAAATATTCTTTATAAAAATACATCATTGTGTGAAGATAATACAACTATGACTGTGTGTGTACCTAATTGTTAATAGTTTTCACGAAGTCACACAAAGTAATAATATTTAAAGAAGTCACAAGATGACAACTGTTTTTATATGATTTATGATTTAAATTGTACACACAATGTATAGAAGCTCTTCTACTGGTTGTTCTTTGTATACTAATCGTGGTCTAATTTAGCAGTAAAAAGTATTACAGCCAATCACATATTCAGAAAAAATGAAATATTCTCAAATCCGAAAATTATATTCACAACAACAAAATTATTTTTATTTATTTATTTCCAGCTATGATTGTCCCGCTGCAGGCATGTAAATCTTTTTCCGGCCAATATCTGTATATATAAAAGAAACTCGTGTTAGTTACACCATTTATAACTCAACAACGACTAAATCCATTTGGATGAAAATTGGCGGGGAGGTAGCTTAGAACCAGGAGACGGACATAGGATATTTTTTATCCAAAAATTTTATTTTACTTTTTACCGAAAATCACGAACGGGAACGGGGGAAAATAGGATTGCGTGTACGAAGTCGCGGGTAGAAGCTAGTAATGCATAAAATAGAATAGAATAAAAATGTAACATTAATTTTACGCAGGAAAAGTTGCGAAGCAGTAATGCGAGCTCTACGCGCCCAAACTGCAGCGTTGATGTCGGTCATTGAGCCGTTTGTGTACGACCCCCTTGTATCGTGGGGTAAAGTACGGCAGATGGACTGCGGCGAGAGGACCAATGAACAGGCGATGCAACATCTACTACATATCAAGCAGAGACTTAATGGAATGGTAAGGAACTCGAATTTCATTATCTGTCTGTAAAGAAATCATAGGGTCAACTTTACTTTGGAAACGATAGTTCAGTGTGAGAAAATTAGTATTTATTTTTTAGTCAGTTATTTAGTATTTTATCTGATAGATAAGTAAAGACCAAACCACCTTTCTCGAGTGTGAAATTGTATGACTAATACGGTTTATGACTGTTATGTAGAGATTGTGTATTGAAACACTCTTTTACAGCGAACTATGACTAATCTTTCATCACAATAACTCAAAGGAAATAATTTCGCACACGTGCTGAATGATCATTATAAGAATAATTATGTTTAATGTACTGAAGCATTGTTTTACTCTGAAATTACAGCTGACAATCATGTACGTGGTTTGGTTATTATTATTTTATCTAGCAATCAATCGAAATTAATACATTGTTTCATTTTAATGTACCAGCATGAATGTACACTAGGGTGTCTCAGAAATCAACGTCTCTTTTTAACCTACATATTTACAAAATATGTTTTATTATTTCACAGGTGAGAACAAAGAACAAGCAACTGTCGCTGTCCCTGTCTCCCGAAGGTCAAGTGGAACATTTGATCGTGGAAGCGACCAGTATAATCAACTTATGTCAAATGTACATAGGGTGGGGACCTTTCTTGTGATTATAAACTAAAATGTGTTATGAACTGTGATTTAAATTAAGTTTTGATAACATAAGACTCAATTTACTATTCTATTGTAAGCCTTATTGTTTAATAAATAAGTGTTCATATTATCTGATGTTTTATTTTAAAATATTCAAGTCCCGTTACAATTTATTAGACTCAATGAATAAGAATTATATCGAAATTAAACTACCCACTGACTGCTTCGTTGGCCGAATGGTCGCAAGTGCGACTACCGGGCAAGGGGTCTCGGGTTCGATTTCCGGATCCCGGTCGGGTAATGTAATACTTTGTCTTTCTGGGTCTTAAAAAAAAATCTCAGTAGGAGCACGGAGCCTGGAAATGAGCCCGGTATATGGCAATAGGCTCACCCCTATTACATGGGACTCATAACATAAATAGTGAAAAGTGGGTGTTACCTCTGTGTGCACCTCTGCCTACCCCTTCGGGGATAAAAGGTTATGTTATGTTAAACTACCCAGGGCAGCTTAAAATCCCTCCATTCCTACTCTTGTTTCAAGTAGAGCCACTGTACCGGAACAGCTGTAAATAAAAAGGGTTTTAATAATATAAATACTTTTTTAAATATCTTGCTCTTTGGTTTATAATGTGCAACCGCACCAAGTCCGGGACCACGGCTTCAATTTAAGGGTAGGAAATCTTGGGCACAGTATTCGGTCTCTAAACTAGAACTCAGACCTAACTACGACGTTCTACGACGAAGACCTACGACGAAAGGCTAGAGTAATTTCTGCGATTTTCCAGTCCTTACACAAACACACAAATAGGTGTTTTTTTAAACATCAACTTCCCGAGTCTAGTAATTAGTTATTCTAACGTATGTTGTATGTATAAACCGCTTGGCGTTTGCAGATGTGTCATACAAAAAAACCTTTTGTATTGTACTTATTCTAGTTAGATTGAATATCTGTTGACTACTGTTATTTGCGTATAGTTAAAACTGATTCATTTATTCCGCGGTCGCTACGGCCTTGTTCAGTTTCCTAGATTGTTACCACACCACATGACTATGATTTCTGTAACATATTAACTTCTATCGCCTATTTTAGAGATAGTAAATCAATGTTTTTAGTAGTAAAATCAATAATAAAATTTACTTAGGTGTTAGGTACACTAGTTGCAAATAAACAGTAAGAAATAGGCACTTTGGTATGAGGAATTAATTATATTTCATTCCGCGCCGGAGCCGTGACGCACGCGCTCCGTACTTGTGCTGCGAATATTTGAGTTTTAGTTATATTGTATTATTGTGCAACTTTGTTTATACAGTTATTTAGTTTATTCCAATATACAATTTACAGTCAATCGTGTGTCGAACTTTATTTCACGCCCTGAGAACCCACCACCAAGAATTATCTTCAAGTACTATTACAATAGCCATTTAGTAACCAAGACAGTTATTCATGTCCCTGGGACGCGCCGTACTTCAGTGTTCCGGTGTTTTCATGGTTGTATCATACGGGGCTGACATGTTCCTAAACGAAAAGTCCCTAAAACCATAGATAATAAAAAAATGGTTGTATCTACTGTTGATCCTGGCTTACAGGAGTTGCAGCGGTTAAGGGAGGTTGTAGCGGGCTTGTCCCATTAAAAAACCAACCTAGCTATCTTGTGTTTCCGTATGAATGCAAACGTTTCATTAAAATTTTTCTCGGTGTTACATTATATTTTTAGGTTTTATGTACGTAAAATGAAATCAAACTACAGGTTCTGAATTACCTACATTTTAAATACACTCCAACTTATACGTATAATGTGGGTACAACGTTTCTAAGTCCCTAGTACCTAAGTGTCCCAAGGGATGGACCTAACTACTTATCTGATTTGTGTTAGAAAACCTGCGGCTACGTGTTACTTTGTGTGTTTTGGGTACTATTTAGATGTTGAATAGAAGACTGTTGACGACAGTTGAATGCGGTGAGATGCCCCTAAACAATAGGTGGGTAAGTTAGGCATACTGAAATACCTTAGTCCCCAGCGGAAATAAGCAACGAAATAATTTCGCTGTACAATATATATACATTTATAGAATAGGCACGTATTTGTGCCAAGCAATCTAATCGCTGATAGCTGAACGGATGATAAATATTCGACCTTGTTCATTGTGAATTCTTCACGCGTTTTGGGTGACCCTTCCCTCTAGGATTGTCCTCAACGCTTTGTGGATCATTTATTTTTGTCAACCTTTATAACATCTCGATACCGATACATAAATAAAATATTTTCTCGTCGTCGCACTTTCTTTGGATATGACAGAAGCCAAATATTTAGGGAGGTAAATAAAATATAACCATGTGCACACAGATGGGCTATTGTAAGCCTCAAACAATCCGAAATGTAAAGAAATCCTTTACTCTTCAGTGATTAGGTATATTAAAACATATGAAAGGTTGACCTATTATTTTAAAAAGGGAATAAAGAGAGAGAGAGAGAGGAAGATAGTAAGTACACATCAAACACTCTTTGTATTAGCTTCATGTTTTATGGAAACATTTTACCTCGGTCCGGCGGTCGACCTAGTATCGTTTAGCGCAGCGCGTATAGGTAGCTCGGTTGACAGGCAATATCCGGATGATCCATTGTTCACCTCATTGCGGATTCTGAACGGCGATGCGGTCTGGCCTCTCTCATTCAGCTCTTGCTCAGCACTGAGGAAATTAGAAAAAACTGCAAATAAGAGAAACGCATTATAGATTGAGCCAGATAGAATAACGGAAGTTTAAATCCAATCTTAGAGGACCATTGGATCTCTCAAACAGATCAGGGTAAGGTTATGCAATGCAGCGCGGTGCAGCTTTCTTACTGAGTATTTGCATGGGTTGCATGACGCAATATTAGATATTTTATTTCAGAGACGGGAGACGGGATGCAAATTTAAATTCTACTATCTTTTATCCGTAACTTCGTTCCCGCGAGTGAGGAACGATCTGTTACCGTCCAGCTCATAATTTGACTTCCTAAGTAGATAGCTACTTCACTTAGGTGTCTATCCATATGGGGTAGGTAGAACTCTTAGGAATAACTAATATAACTAAAGTAGTACCTATAGAATGAAGCCACACATACATATGTAAGTAACTATGGCCAATTTACTACTACAAATACCTATATACAACTAGTGAAATTCATACAATTGATTGACTAGAAATTAAATAGGAAGGTAGCTGCAGCAGACAATGAAATATAATTACCGAATATGTTGCAGTAGGTTACTTACTGCAATACAATTGATGTTGATCCAATATCTATAGGTATAGAGGAAACATCAAAGGTATTGTCTCCTTCAGCTAGTCGCTTAACATATCTACATGTGTTGGTTCTTGTAATGTAAGAGCTAGGTAGCAGGTGGTTTAACTGTCAGTTGAATACTTATGTTAACTATTGTTATTATCCAGAAGGTAGGTACTAACCTACTACTTACCTACCTACTGCCATCTCTAATAACAACATGGGTAGGCACTTTAATAATTAGTTGATGATGTTTAATGACCAGGGTAAGGAATGTTTTTCTTATTTATACCTAGTTAGGTATAAACATCTTGTTTCCTAAACAAAAGGCCACTTACAGCGCCTAGCATAGGTAAAACAATGAGACAAACTATAAATGTAATAAAACTGTAGAAGTGTACAATCTGTACATTGTGAATAGTGAATACTAGATGGACAACGAACCAAAAAATGACATAAAATTTTTCGTCTCTCTCTGTATGTTAACGCAAAAACTGCTGGTCTTATTACAATGAAACTTAGTAGGGTTATAGGTAGGTACATACTTTAATATTCTGGGCACATCACAAAACAAACTTAATTGTGCGGCTCAACCCCAAGACACAAACTGTACCAAACGCAAATTTAAATTTGTCGAATGTTAGGTTGCTTGCAGACCGCAGTGGACTTTATGCTGTAAGTGTAGGGCCGATGGTTGAAATTAGCTTGAATCGATATTATAAAAGAGAAAATATGTGAGTTTGTGTGTATGTTTGTTACTCCGATCAAAATGGCTGAAGGAACCGGGATAAAATTTATAACAGAGGTAGATTATGCTCTGGAGTAATACATAGGCTACTTTTATATATGGGAACGCGGGCGAAGCCGCTCACAGAACCTAGTGTTTAATAAAAGATAAAGTTTATCAACTATCTCAAATTGGCAATGTTACTAACAATCACTTGATGGGCAACCAACCATCAAAAGTAAATAATAGTTCCTACAGTGGGCACCTATTTACTATGTATGTACAATTTACATAGCATACTTTTTACTGTATATAAGTTTTTATAATAGCATCTATGTATGTGTTGTGAAGCATTCGACTGGGGAAGTACCTCTACCTGCCTTTTCAAAGCAATCATTAACGTTTCATTATAAAAAATAGTATTGTGTAAAGTTATTGAGATGAGCATCTCAGCACTGAGTACTGTATAATTTTCGTCATTACTTTTTGCATAACTATTAACGCTATAAAAACAATGTTGGTACGTGAGTTATCCAACGATTTATTTATAGCAAAACTTTGATACCTACATACTATATGAGGGACCTGTTTTCTCTATGAAAAGATGAGGCTGGGGTTGCACAGACTAGAGATAAATAATGTACCTAATATCCATTTTTTACCACTTATGTTGACGTATAACATCACGCTTTTTTATCCCCGAAAGGCAAAAAAAAGGCAGAGGTGCACATAGGCAACGGCAACGGCAACGGTAACTATTGCCACCATACAATGTAACACCCACTTTTCACTATTTATGTTATGAATCTCATGTAATAGGGGGTGAGCCCATTGCTATATACCGGGCACGATTCCAGGCTCTGTGCTACTACTGAGATTTAAAAAAAAACCAGTAATACTTCGTCCGACCCGGGTATCGGACCCAAGACCCAATGCCCTGCAGTCGCACTTATGACCACTCGGCCAACGAGGCAGTCATATTTAGTCTTATCTAAAAGAGAGCGAGGTTATTATCACGCACTGGATACTATTCAGAATCTAACCCAGAAATCGGAATTCTAAATCCAGATTCGAACCCACGGAAATTGTCCTGAGACCCATTGCTCGGCAGTTACACCTACCACCACTTAACCAATGAGGTTGGCGGGTTACCTAGGCTACTATATTCTTTTTCAGAATCAATCCGACCGTCCTTAAGCCAATACAGTATTGTCACCGGCCACGAAGTTATTTGCTTACTCAGTTGAAGAAATACGGTTTCAGCGATACCTTTGTATCTCACACTTTAAATCTTCATACGTTATGTGATTTACAAGTAAAGCTGACTCAGCCAGGGTTGTTGGGCAGAGTTCATTTGCTCCTTTTCGAAGATACTGGATATAACTTGCTTTACTACAATCGTACTGATTTTTCCTGAGTGAGGTCTCATTTGCGTGTAATGCGGGTTTGCCTGATCGCTGATACCTAAGTGTTATCTAGAACAAGATTCATTGCTGATCAAGTCTGTCTATACCAAAGCTGAATTTTTATAGTTTATAGTTTAAAAAAATAAAATTCGAGGTATTGATTTATAAGATTTGTGAATGTAGGTATACGTAGTTAGCACCAGACAAAGAGCATTTATAATTCACGGATTTTAAGGATGACCTTTAAACTATTGTTGTTTTTCTCACATAAGTCTCGAATTCAAACAAAAAGAGACGATTGTACCTAAATAGCTATTAGGTATCTAGATCGAATTCCAACATTTCCACTCATGTAGTTATTAATTTAGGGACTTACACCAGTAGAGGAGAACCTAACGGGTTACCGGGGCTCCGGCTCGACGTACAGGAGAAGGAACGGGGTGGTTTTAGTCAGTAAGATTCTGACACTCCCTCTCGCCTCACCCAGGCGGGAGCAGTCATTCGATGATTATCCCCCCTTACAAAAAAACACCAGTAGTTAGGTGCATTAGTAAGAATACTGTACCTAGCTAGATATAATTTCAAAAAAACTGCGGTGGGTACATACATTACTCATGGTCATAGAACATATGGTACATTGATTGAGATCTATGAACTTTCGAACTGAACAAGACAGTTCAATGTCAAAAGTTTATAAGGAAAACGAAAAAAGTTTGACAATTGGTGAACCTAAAAAAAGGACGGGTTCGTATTTCGTCTGTTTATAGCTAACACACTTACGTCACGTTTTTCCCCACAACTTTTTGCTGTACGTCAAATGTTTACTATTTTAGAGGTAGGTACTTATTAATATTTTAACCGACAGGTATTTGTATAAACCAACTACTCATTGAGACTCTAATTAACGTTGCTCTAATTAACTGTCAAACACCAAGCGGTCACCGGTGACCACAACCTATTGTTCTATAATTGTGTCTACAAAACCGGTACTCGACGAGTTAAGTTCATGGATAAAAATGTTATTGCCATAGCCGTATCAAACAGTGTTCTATTGGTTGAAGTGCCTCCAAGTTTTCGCCTAGGATGGTCTCGGATTCAATTCCTTGGTTAGTTCAAGAGATTTACAAATTTATTTTAAAAATTGCTCATCTGTTACATATATAGGGATGAAAAAGCGTGATGATAAATAGGTGTAGATACACTAGGTATTTGGTTTGTTATAAGATCTAATATATTTAAACCCTAGTCAGATTCGGTATTTTGGCCCATTTAAATGCACGGAAAACAGTGTTTATAACAAGGTCATTAAGAGCGCTTCCTAATATTTGAACTATTCTATTTGTTTAGTGGTCGTGGGTTCAATTCTCAGATAAGGAAAATACGTTGTCTAGCCCAGTGATAAACATGACTGCTGTGAACAGATTATCCGAGGTCGATTTTGATTTATGTCTGCTTTGGAAAAACAAGACTTAAATCAATGATGAAAAATTATAATAAAAATTAAGTAATGAATATTATGATCAACATTCATCAACACAGGTACAGAAAATCTATTAACTGAGGAAAATTGTCGTGGCGGCCCGCAGGTAATGTAAAAAAATAAAAAAAATGTTAATATTAAGAAATTTATTTTGTGTGATAATAAAATTGTAAGTAATAAAAATTCATGTTATTGTAATAGTACATACCTAAACTATAAAAATAATATATTTATAATTAAGAAATGCAAATATATTTATTCAAGAAAATGTTAATGTTTATTGACTTAAATAATACTTGTTTTTTCTATTGTCATGTAATATGTACCGTGCCCTAAACGGGTTTCATGTTGAAACTAATCTAGCCACTTATGTAAGTCGCGGAGAACCTAACGGGTAACCGGGGCTCCGGCTCGACGTGCTGGAGAAGGAACGGGGTGGTTTTTAGTCAGTAAGAGTCTGACACTCCCTCCCGCCTCACCCAAGCGGGAGCAGCCATTCGATAACTTTCCCCCTTTAAAAAAAAGCCACTTATGTAACACCTATGCATCTATGTACTTATGCACCTACACATGAATGAATGCAATAAAGAATTAGAACTTGAGGTTTAAGAAATTAGGGTGCGTTTATGAAACCTACCAACAGCAAGCACCAATGAGCCTTTTTCCGAATTATAACTTATAGGTACTTAAATCTACTTCCTAAGATTATTAATCAGTGACATACGGCAAAGGAAAATATCGTGAGAAAGCCAGGGCTTATAATTTCTAATTATAACTTTAAAATCGCCAATACGCCTTGAGCAAGAGTAGTGATTAATACAGAAACCTTCCCCATGTGAGAAGAGGGCTTTGGTCTGTTCAGCAGTGGGCTCTTATAGACTATGTGGCTATTTATCATTATGATGATGAAGAAAATTGAATAGACGGACTTGAGTAGCTTGACCTGCATGCTGACGTCTTTACTTATCTGACCTGTTGAAATAAATCTGTAGTCTCTATTTTTATAAAAATTGTTTGATAAGATTATCAAGTACCTACCTAGAGAAAATGATCTATTCCTACGATAAAGTCGAGTAGATACTTCAACTGTCAACCGATCAACTTGAATGGTTTACGTAATGAGATAGATTTTGGATTTATGGAGATCAAAGGTTTTGCCGACCGTAATTCTTAGAGGTGTCTTGTCTACGCTGAAGTTTACATGTTAATTTTAAATTATAATTATAGGAGACTTGGTCTAATGGCAGAAGGACGTAGACTTGGTTAAACACTGAGATCATTATTATGTGCCTGCTTTATCACTAACTAAGAGAATTTCTAAATAAAAAAGACACGAACAGACTGATGATAAAAAGTTAAATTGGTTTAAACTGGGAGGTAACCTAGGTATATGATAAAAAATAATGAGACATACATTATGGGCTACCTAAATTTCGCATTTAATTAGGTAGAAATATAAATAAACTATTCGCATCCGACGAACGGCCCGAAATAAAAAAATCTTTGATGAAGTTCGATGAACGAATAGGTATATAGTTAGGTAGGTATATACATTGGACGATGATCGATACGTCACTAGAATTTCATAGAAACATCTAATGTAATCATAACAGTTGATAAATCCAAGAACAGTATTTCTGTAATGTTAAAGAAAACACAAAATATTGGGTCTATTTGATCAATTGGTTCTCAATATGGCGTGCAATCTGTCGGATACATCAAAATGTAGTTAACGCTTCCGTATTAATTAAATCTTTCAATAAAACGGTAGGGGAACGTATCAGTAACCTTGAGAAAAATCCCAGAAATATATTGTTTAAATAGGTTATATTTTGTAGTTTGGTACGAAATGATCTGTCTGAGGTGATTAGTGCATCATGATCTAAAATAAATTGGTAGGTACATACATACAATGACATAATGTGTGAATTAGTTATACATGGTTTGGTTTTACTCAGGTAAATCGACTGATTTAAGACAAAATGCGCGATTCACTAGTCGGTGAGTTGCGCATTTTTATAGTTTTAAATAAGGAAATTAATTTATCATTATTGCTATAAATAATATCATAAATATTATATCTATCCGAGTATTGACTCACTGTAAAGACCGTGAAAACATGATTTAGATCTCTTGTTATTTCTAGAAAAGGAAAGTAGGAGTATAAAATAAAAGCACCAATCAGGAAACACCGAGCATAATTTCAAACTTCATGCTTTGTTCAGATTGCCTTGTGAGAGTTTCAAAGTGAAAAACCGACTCTTTCATCCTGCTTCTAAACAAGGATCTCTTTACTCGATCAGTAGCACTTGATTTGCAGTTGCAAGGTTCATTATAATGATTTATTTTCATACACAAAGTAATCTACGAAAAATGTGAATGTGTCTAACTAATAGTGTAGTGCTTTCGTTTGCTTTTCCGTGTCCGTATAACAAAGAAACACGAATATCAAATTCCTGCGTCATGAGTGTATTGAAATAATATTTTTGTAAGCAATAAACACTATAAAAACATTTTTGGGAAATTCAAGTACCTACTATAGCGTTACCTACACAGCATGGAGTCTAGTCATAGAATTAGGTAATAAGTTAACTATCTATTAAATAGGGCTTATAACAGTACCTGTTAATGATTTTTATGCACTCCTGTGTCTTTTCAGGGCAAGTAAGTTGAAAAAAAGGAAGACGTAATGTCGCTTAGATATGATTGAGGCACCAAAATGTCAGTTTTGCATGTTCTTGCAACACCGGTAATGTATGAAGTGTAATGACAGGCCATGTCACATGGCAGATGTCCTTCGTGTCAATGTGTGTGTATTATGCGTGTAAGTATATAGTAGCCAGTTGCCATAGTCGTTGTTTTGAAAAACTATGTCCGCGTTTTTTTAACGTTCTTTTAGAATAAAAGGTGGGATGGTCATGACCGACACCTATGTCATGAAAATCATTAGCTAAGTTTGTAGACTACATACAAGACAACATAACTTTGTACTTACGTTTTTAAACGACTAAGTTTACGGTACTGGTATTCCGGCTTTGTGCTCTCGGTTACCGAACTTTTTCGTGGCACCTGCAACTTCTGAAGACTTCTATTATTTACCTGTAATATAAAATACGATGTTATTAAACTGTAAAACTTTAACAAATTACTCTTAATATTTATTATGCCTTTTTTCCGTAATGTTTGTTTGTTTCAATATTTTTGAGAATTTCAAAATCGAATTTTAATCTTACGTAGGTAAGTAGGTACTTTGTCCGAGCCAGGATTCGTTCACCAAACTTCAGGCTCAGTGGCTATCGATATCTACACCAACGTCATTACAATTATTTTAGGATCAAGTAGATGCTATATTAGTTATGTTAAAATTCAATTTAGAACCAGACTGTTTTTTTTCTAAAGAAACATTGTAGAAATCTAATTTAACTGCACAAAAGGTTTCATAAGATATTTGACCGCGAAACAAATGAATTGCAACACAATTACCTACAGGTGGAATAAGTAGCTTATTGTATAGAACTTCAATCATAAAATTATTGACTTTAACATTCAATTCATTATTACTTCCTATCGTGTCTAAGCACTTATAATGGAACTGAACCTTGTTATAATTGAAAAGAAGTCATGAAAGGGTCAGAATACTGTATTCAGTCATGAAATAGTCCCACCACAGGTAATGACGCCTCAATATGGCTGATGCCGATACTGAGCCGCGGAGGTCCTGAATCTTGGGGTCCAGTTCGAAGTGCAGGAAAGCGCCCGACACTCTCTCCCGCCTCTCTCAGGCGGGAGAAGTCATTCAATGATTGTCCCCTACAAAAAAATTAAGAAAAAATCCAGAGTCCGAGGTCTGTTGATTTAAAACGTTTAGATTCCATTTAAAACCTAAATAGTGAACTATTCCAAGACTGGAATCTATGTACAAAAATATTTTGGATTTGTTTATTTAGGTCTGAGATCTTAGATGATTGGATGCCCTGAGCGCTTTGAATCTTAATTTTGCATCCTTAGGGAAAATCCGTAGACATGTTACAGCGAACAAAGAGCTCAAAGGCCTACAATTATGTTTAGTACGACCGTACAATTTTACCTAAAACCTTATCGGACCCATTTTCAGCACTTATCTGAAACTAAGAGGATTTTGTTTCCTCGTCATGGTGCAATTGGTGATCATCTAGATTTTTGTCCTTACAAAAATATTTTTCTGTCTTTAGAAACATCATTTTTCCTCTACTACAAGTAATGTGGATTCTTTTAAACAAGGAAAAGCTTTAGTTTCTTATATTTTCTTATATAATAATTATGTAGTTAGAAGTAATAATAGAGATATGAAACTGCACAAGTTGATTTGGATTAAATTTTCTTCATTGATAACAAGGTTTATATTTCTTCTTGTCCAATTTAATGTCGCAGACAGGGACACCACCTTTTATTAGAAAGGTACTTAAGTGTCTAATTAATCAACAACTAAGTACCTATACCTACCTACTAAGTAAAAGGGATTCCCAACACAAAAGTTGTCAACCATATCGTTAAATATTGTGATTTACCGACCTATTGTTTGTAACAATGAATGAAAAAGATCGCACGTGCCTATTATTATATAGAAGTTAATTATAATTAACACTTTATTTCAGCGCTTCAATGGTGATCAATCTCTGTAAGTAAGGCACCTTAATAATAATTGTCACTACGTTAAGTGGAATCACAAACCGTAACAGGGAAATTAAATGATTGCGAGATTGTTGTCAGTCTGCCATGCCATGAGGCAGTTTGTATAACGTCGTTGTCGAATGCGCTGGTGAGCTGGTTAAAAAGTTCGCAACGCAGGCGCGGTAGCCGGTAAAAAGGCGGGAATTTTTGCCGAACTGCATGAATATTTTTAATCTGTATTGTAAATTTTTAAATTACGAATACATTTTTTATGGAATATTGCAAAATGGAATACAGTTTTTAGTGGAGTTTAGTGTTATTTATTTAGTTAAATAATAATAATTACTATTGGTGTTTTATAGTCAAAAGAAATTACTCAAAGGTGAGTTAATTATTGCATGATTATGTAATGTAGTTTAGTTTTGAGTGAGATGATCATTGCTTTTTCCTGATAGGTGGATGAATAGGATAATTTGCGGAAGTGTAGTAATTTGTTGTTTGGAGTCAAAGGTCGCTCTGAGCGAACTGAGTGGACATTGTATTCAAATTAAATTATAATGAGCCGTTAAGTAGGCGCTAGGCTTGTAAGATTGTACGTTAATCATAATAAATAGTTATGTATTTTGTAGCGCGCTTTTTAGTTCTAATAGTTTTAACTTGGTAGCGAAAACTTTGTTATCTTTTCAATACTATTGTTATTATTTTACTTCTAATACACCAATATTATTATTAGGTTATTACCTGAAGATTGAATAATTCTGATAACGTCAAAGTACCAGCTATTTTCCCCTTGTCTACAAGGGACACCTATGGTTTCAAAAGTGAAATAAATTTATTTCAATTTTACCCTTAACTATTTATATAAGTATTTTTGAAATTCTCCTATGTGTAACGCCTAATAATTGACCTAACTCGGGAATTGAATTAAGGACCTGTGATTGACACCTGTCCTTGCGTTACAAGCCATAATGATTTCTTTTTATCTTAGTTTTTTTTTTACTTCAGTATTTAAATAAATACTATTATGTCTAGCCCACACGGAGCTTGATTATTATTATGTGGAACTTAATAACGGTAATTGTATACGCACGTTAATTACCAATTTTTCCTCAAAAACCAAAATTCAACAAAATCTATTATTGGCAAGGCATTTATATCTAAATATATTTGGTTTTGTTGAATTAAGCAATAATAAATTAATAATTTCCTAACATTCGTAATCAGTATTTTTTTCATTTGTATAGATTGGATATCTATAAGATTAGGTCATGAATACTTTGTCCGTAATTTCCCATAACTTTTTTATCAACACGTATTTATAGACAAGCAAAAGGCGTTGTGTGCAATTTGTGCAAGCAACAATTTCTCACTAGCCAACAAACTTTTATTATGGAAAATCATTGATGTAATCTTCTGATGATAATGTATTGACCGTGATAACGGTACTACAGAGGACACCTTTTTTGTGTGAATGGGGTTTTTTTTAAATCGAAACAATAATTTACCGATAAAAGTATGCGAAATTATGATAACAGAGATTGATTGCTCAAGTAGTCCATTATGGACACAGTATCGAGACATCGGATTATTATCTGGTCCGATTACGATTATTTAATATTTTTTCTAGTCCTCTCAGTAGAAGAAACTGAACCTTTACAGTTAGTCGTATTTCAAAGTTGGTTCAAGTTCAATTCAAAGTTTCGTTCTAAATAATTTTTTTTTGTTAAATTCTAAAAATGGGACGGATTTTAAGACCTAGACGTTATGTGTAAGTTTCAAATTTTCATTATTGGATACCTAGGAGATCGGATACAAAGAACTATATTTTATAATATGACAAAGCTAGAAAGTATAAAGGGCGTGGGTTATATCGCTTTCTAAAATATTTTCTGAGATCCTTTGGATGGGCAGGAAGTGTTATCATCACTAATGATCGCCAGCCCCATGATGAAGACTTTTTAAGTTTTAAAATAAATATAGTAAAGAAGTTTTCCCTGTTTACCTTATAAGTTCAGTCGTTGAAGTAGCCAATTAATTATCATTAATTCCATGAATAACCACATCCAACTCTTTGTTAAGAACTTTGTAGAATTTATAGAATGATTATTTTTGATTCAATCTTGACAACATGTCAAGTAGTAGGAGAGAAAATAATTTATTAAGGTTATATTTGTATTAAGAAAACTTGCAAAGAATAATTAATTTGTACTTATATAATTAAGTACTTAAATATGATTACTAAGTAACTATAAAGTGCGTGTTATAAGTTAGTTTATATTATGTTGCAGTTCGAGAATGAAGCTAAAGTTACCGAGTCCGAAGAGATTGGTTTGCAGCGCGTTTCCTATACTGCGGTGGTCAAGGACTTACGACACAAGTTCAGCGGTAGGAGACTTAATAGCCGGTATTACAGTCGCCCTGACATTGGTACCGCAGTCGATTGCGTACGCATCGCTTGCCGGATTTGAACCTCAGGTACTGTATCAAGCTTGTTCAGTTAGCAAAATTTACGCTTGATTACTAGTGGCATCAATCGTTCTACTCGGATGAACACTCACTACGTCAAAGGCCTTGGCCAAGGTGACAGTGGGATTTATTGTGGGAAACTATACCTATTATATAAACGAGGTATATAAGTAAGTTTTGTAACTGTTGTTAAAATATAAATCATGTTATAATAAACAAAACAAAACCTGGGTACGTTACCAGGTTCAGGCTAAAAAAATTGAAGACAAGAACACTCGAGCTCGGTATAGTTTTCTTGATATTTTCAGTCTTTAACTTTTTTAAATTACTTAGGCTGTTACCGTCGTAATGATAAATAAACAATTAAGTAAATAGTAATTAATGAGGTATAAGTGATTACAACTTGAGACTAAATTATCTCGGGGAAAAAGAAGTGGAAAAAATTTTCTATGATATTTCCTGTGGCCTTAAATTGTTTGGTGACCTTTAATAATGTGGTTCTATGTTTTGTCTATTGTCACAGTGGAATTATGTGAAGTAGGTACTGGTAAACAATTGTTACGATATTTAGTAATCGCTTTGTATGATATATAGGCGTTTTATGGAAATTGTACCTGCATCTTCTTGAGATAAATCGTAACATCACGTAGGTACGTGATGATATGTGTTTATTCAGACTACGATCTATTTAATCCAGATATGGTAATAATAAGACTGTTTAGTTGATATTAATAAATTAATTTAGGTAGGTAAGTGTTAAGTTGATTGAGATAATTTAATGGCAATGTCTTTAGAATTGATGCTGGCGAAGTATATACTTATTGTGTAAGGACAATGGAGCTAAGTCGGTGACACGATGTGGATTTTCCCTCCTTATGAGACAAAAACATGTGTTTAGTTTATGTATTTACCAGGAAAGTTTCTAAATATAAACACAAGAAAAGAAAAGATAAAATCATTGAATGTACTTAGCCGAGTGTCGTTCATTGATAACATCCGTTATTATACAATAATGCTGGCGGATAAATTATATTGTTGCTTCACCTCTTTAAAGGGTTCGGTACAAAAGATTCCATTTTAGTTCTATTAAGTTTATGTACCAATTTTGTAAAATACGGTTCATTTAAATAAGATAAGGTATTGAACAATTTTCTTTTGTGAAAATACATTTCCAGCTTTATACATAATATATAACTATAGTATTAGTACATCCACACTTCGTTGATTGTGTAACAGCTAACTGTGTCTGAGAGTGCAGATAACTACCAGGCTTAATCATAAACTTGGTGCTGATTTAAGACCTGTCTTGATCTTGTTTAAGACCTGAAAAATTCTATAAGTACTTACGTACTCGATTAGAAAATCGGTCTAGAAACCATTTTTAGGACAACGGACTTAGAGACCTTTTAACAAAGACAGGCACTATTTTAAAAAAGTTTTTCATGTTCTACTGGAATCTGTGTAGAATTTTCTTGACTTCCGACCAAACTCTATCCAGACTACAACATTTCTAATACGTATTTGCGGACGTCTCTGGCCTTGTAGCTCTCTCCCAGGGACGAAGTACTTACCGTTGCCTAGCTTTAGTCACCACGGTTGCGGTTCACTAGAGTAGTAATAAATGTACATTGTATATGCGAGAGAGAAATCTTGGATAGATTTGTAGCTTAAATTTTGAGAAATCATTGTCCTGATAATTTTAATGAGAAGATAATATTCCCAAATGAATTACGAATAATTCCTAATGTTGATCTTTTTACTTTTTATAGAATTTTCTCCGTAGATAAGCTTTCACTGAAATACCTAAAGTTATAAATAAATACCTAAAGTTATCTAAATACCTACCTAAAAGTAATAAATTATACATTTTCATTATAATATTTCTTTTCATTCGTCAGATAGAGTTAAAATACAATAAATGTTTTTTCCACTGAAAGTAATTAAAGTCTTGGTTTCGAATTCAAAATAAAGGAAAAAATAATATGTTGAACTTCAAGATATTTTAGTTTGAATTTGCTATGCAGGTGGCGTCTACGTGAATCTTAATCTTGGAATTATACATGCAGAGCCGAGCACCTAGTGGATATTAATATTTAAATTCCAAGCTGTGTGGTTTCATAGTGAGCTAGTTTAATTTCTAGTTTCTTTTATATTCTAGTTTTATTTTCGACTCAATGGACCAAGTCGTTATTCCAAAATGTACTGCAAAGTTAATATAATACTTTCTAATGTAGATAATACAAATACGTTTTTAAATTTCAAATAAACTAATTATTTTAGCATGTAAATGATATTCTTATCAATTATACTTACCATAAGTACCTTGCTATGTATAGACACGTATCTAAGTGTTTGTAATCGCAGCTAATGTAAAAGTTTTGTTATTACACTTGTAAGAAACAGATACTTTAGCCTACCTTCTCAATTCCCTGAAGTAATCCTCTATACGTTTCCGAGATTAATTACCACTCGACGCGAAATAAGTATCTTGTAATTTATGATACATAAAAACGTCCTTATAATAAATTACATGTGTAGGTACCGTAGATGTCCTACAATTAAATAATAAAGATTATTGTGCAGAATAGTTACCGAGTATTCGATATTAAGCACTATAATTTTGTATTTTAGGTTTATACATGTAAGTAAGTATTTTTCACGCTGAATTGTGTTTAATTCAAGGCTGTGTTCCATGTATTATGTCTAACGTTATCCGGAAATTCAAATCCACCAGTGTTAGATACTGTCATTCAAATTCGATATAATGGAAACACATAGTTATGCGTCATTACGAATTATACATAGATAAAACTGTCTCTTTCGTATAATATATTATTGTTTATCAAAGTCACTAACTGGTAATAAATTCATGGAGAATTGTCTTTTGAAAACATATAGAAAATAGAAAACTGAATTTATTTGCATTTAACTACTTAATTGTAACATTAAAACTCGAAATATACCTATGTAATTTAGTTCTAAACTTTTAGTTGCAGAAGCCAGATAATTATTATTAGACTGTCACAAAAATGGTTATTCTTCTCCCAAATATCCAGACCAACAATCCAAATGGAAATAGATGTTTTATTCTAAGAAAATAGCGTATATGCCTAATTTTTATTTTAATGTCCGTCTGGTAGATTATTTTAAATCATTAGACACGTATTTTTATTGTCTTACAGAAACGAATACTTTCGACGATTTGAAATGTCGCGTGGCGTCACTCCTATGTACATTTTATACGTAGAAATGACGTTTTAGCCCCGTCTCCTAAACTTTGATTCGTTTTATTTAAGTATTGTTTTCTATTACGACAAAATAAAAAAATACAAATTTTTTATTACCTTACTTACGGACTAATTATATTTTTAATTTTCATACCTTATCATCATCCCAATTAAAGGCAAGGATTTTGTCAGTAGTTGTTCAGTAACACTGTTCATATTCAATATTCGATGTTTGGTACATTAATAATATTTCCAGGCAATTGATGACACAATGAGATCGGAAAGAACATAATGTATAGTTACAGCTGTTACAGACAACATAAAGTTCTAAAACTCAATGGTTTTCATATTAATCGATAGGTAAAAGAATTATTTCCTTGTCTTCTGATTGTAGATAATATTGGTTTCTACATTATCATCACGCTATTTTTTACTTAAACTGAAGAAAAGTGAATTTTTATATTGTTTTATAATTACTTTGCGGCAACTTGCCTCCTGTTGGAGTCAGGTAGCCGGCAGGTAGGTAGGTAGGGGTCCAAATAAAGTACACTTTTTTAGAAGTAGTTCACTCTATTAATGCCAATTATCTGTTTCCCCAATCACGTCCAGGTTCGGGGTAATAGGTACGCTGAGAACACTGGCCTGAACCGTGGAGTAGCTCTGCAGGCGGTCCGGACTCGTTCCAAATGCACTTCCAGGTCTTCAGCAGGGCCTAGGTAGTTCCCAGGTAGAAGGAGGTCTGGTCTTCCACTCGCCGCCAGGTAGATGGCCGCGACGCGAGGTCAATGGTAGAACATAAATCCGCCAGGTAGATGGCTGCGATGCGAGGTCAAAAGCAGAACGTAAATCCGCCAGGTAGATGGCTGCGATGCGAGGTCAATTGTAGAACATAAATCCTGGAAGCGCAGATACAAGGCAAGCGTTAGCAGAGCTCGGACCACGTAGCCGGGTCCAAAGGTCACAGTGTCCCAGCAGACAAAGAAAAAAGGAATAGCCGCTGCTAGCGAGAAATTAAGAAGAAGAAACACCTTACAATAGCAACACTTAAGCAATACATGGAAACTTACCCCAGCGGGATTCCGATTACAATTTATATAATTGATTTAAGGTAGATTTAGCTAGGTAGGTAAGTACGATCTTGCAACGTAGGTCGTCCGCGATCGAGTGACACAGCCGTCACCTCTGATGCCTTTAAGTTGACTGTTCGTTGGATTTTACGAATGCGCCCGAGACGAGCCGACACGACTAGTTATTAACTCGTTTAGAGATGCGTAGGCGCAATAGAAGCGAGGACCTTTGCGTAAACAATTAATATTGGGTTCCGTAATGTTTTTATATAAAATTAATTATTTTGATGCGTTTTAAATTAGTAAGTAGTAAGATGTGTTTCTATTTGTTTATTTAGTGTATTTTAATAATAGTTTTAGAATAATCTATTGTAATTATTTATAATTTATATGGTTTCGAAGCTATTTTTAGGGCAAACAAGGTACAACGTTACAACTTGTTAAATAAACTATAGACTGTCACTAGTACTAAGTAATACTATGTATACCATTATTATATTTATGAAACCATTTTTTTTATCATATGCTTGTTGATTACAATCTCCTTTTCGGGTAAAATTATATTTTTTCCTATTTTCCTTTTCAGTATGGCCTTTACTCATCGTTTATGGGGCCGTTCGTGTACGCTATTATGGGTACAAGTCCGCAGGTAAACCTGGGGCCTTCAGCATTATTATCGCTTCTTACATTTACGTACACAAACGGCACAAATTCAGACTTCGCCATACTTCTGTGTTTCATGGCTGGCATTGTTCAGCTTGTAGCAGGAATAGCGCAACTTGGTAAGACCCTTTGTATTCTTTATCAGGCTTTAAACAATTATCTGTAAGGGATATTACCCAATTACTTACAGTTTAATGTCCATAAAGAAGATCATTATCTTCAATGACAACATAATTCGATACAGTGTTCAGATATTTTTTAAGGACTCTGAGAACAAAGGAAAAGTTTTGTTTACATTTTAAAAGATGACGATAATTATTGTTGAAATTATTACGAATAACAAACAATGTGCTCTGAACAAATAATGTCGTCACGGTTTTGAATAACTGGTTGAGGTGTTAATATAGCTTTGTTCGATGATTTAGGTTTTCTGGTGGAGTTTATATCTCTGCCAGTGGTATCAGGGTTCACGTCAGCCGCAGCATTGACGATCGCATCATCTCAAGTCAAGGGACTGCTGGGTCTTCGGTACAATGCTGACACATTCGTTACCACGTGGAAGAGCTTTTTCCAACACGTCGGCGAGACGAGATTAACTGACAGCATGCTTAGCTTGGGATGCATTATAGTGCTCACAGTAATGAAGGTAAGGTTTTAATAACATAATTAAATAAGACTTACTAAAACAATCTTAAGAAGCAATATTATTTAAGGCCTAATTCTCCTTAATACCGATAAAGGCTATAAAGCATCGTAAATTTAGAACTAAGGGCCTAAATGCCTACCTATTATCGTTCATCATAGTTCGGAACATGTCTTATGAGACATTACGTGAGCATACTCACTTAGGAGCAAGTTGCTCTGTTTATTTGTTAATTTCGTTGATAATTCAATACGACACGTTCCGTAGCGGTGAGCGACCGTCGTCGGGACCGCAACTTGGCAAACTCCGTTACAAAGTAAATACTAAGTCTGATTGTCGTCCCGGCACATGTACGGTTTACTAGATAGTAGACACAGAATTGGGGCAGCATCCCTTGTAATTGACTATTTGTATTGTCGGATATTGCTACTGAATAAGTATTATCTTTAACTAGCATCACGCGCCACGTGTAGGAGATATATGATATATTGTAAATCTAGAAGGCTTGATACGTCGTGAAAAGCTACTGAAAGAATTCTGATACATTTCCTAACATTTTCATTGTCTAACACAGAGTACTGTTCATACTTTTTAATCATCTTACCTGCTAATAGTAAAACTTTTATGTAGATAGATTTTTATTCCATTTTATACTTGACAATGCAGTACCTAACCTATTTAAACGTGAACATATTCAATAATATTTTATTAGAACAATGTAACTAAGTAATGTACAAAGAAACAAAGATATTGTAAGATTTGCATATTCTTTGTGCAGCGTGTTTTGTTGCTAAACATATTCCATATACCTAACTAAGCTATTACATATAAAGATAGTGTTCTACCTTTAGATACATATTTATTTATTCTTCTGTATAAACATGCATATACTTTTTAAACGTAATAAAAATAACAGTTTAGTTCTTGAAGCAAAATAAGGTTTTAAGTAAATAGTTTATTTGTGACCTATTAATAATCCTGTTTTATTTATGTCAGCGGCAAAAATAAAAATAACATTAAATTCTACACCTTATTCGACACATTGCATTTTTGCTATTGACAGACCGCAGTAGGTACCTATTGAGTTCGCTTTTCCTAAAACTTCTCAAGGTCGAATTACGATTCCTACTGACAATAGTACGGTAAAGTAAATGATCGCTGAAGACTGTGCAAATTACAATTAGTCACAAAGTCACAAGTGGTTTATTTTCGACGTTAAGTAAAATTAATATTGATACTATGGAACTATTGTTATTGTTAATGGGCCGTATGATGAATTTCTGGATCGATCCCCTTTGATTTTTTGCTTATGCAAATAAGCAAAAATTATAGTGGCCGTGGAACAAAGACATTCAATTTTTTAATATCTAGTCGAAATTTTTAAAGAAAAAAAAGGTCGAATCGTAACTTAGATGCAAAAATACCAGGAGAAATTTATACTTAAATCAAGTGAACTTAAAGAAGTATTTCGCGTTTCAAACAACTTACTCCTTGAAGCTTGAAGTCAGTTTGGTTTGACGGGTCACGTCACCGCGAGCAAAGTACCTATCTTGCAATTTAACCAGAACGAACCTGTGCTTGAGATATTTTAAAATTTACTTTGAAATGTAGAAAACTTTTAAACTTTACTTGGGCTAGAAGAAGACAAAATGCTATTTTTGTAGCCACTGAAATGCGGTTTATCAGACAGTCGACCGAAGTAGCCAGACTCATTCGTGCAAATACAACCGATAAACTTTTATCATAGTTAATAACGATGGGAGACTACCGACTTTTATTTTATTATTTTGGACGATAGAGAAAGTTTCCCGGAAAACAGACCGACGTCTGATTAAATCCCTTCTAACTTTGAACTAACTCACCTAAGTCGAGCTATTAACAATGAGGGAACTATTAAATCCATAATACGACTACACAAGTTGGCTCATAATTCAGTGTTGTATATTTGAAGGAGTTCATAAATAAATCAATTATTCGGAGCTGTTCGAATCAAATTTAATCAAAGTCAAATGCAAACATGATTTATTCAGGCTTCGGTTGTAAGTTACGTACACGACCGAAATCTTCTATCGGCTGAGATTAATACATAATTTACTTTAGGCATACTCCGACCGATGTACCTAAAGTTTACTTTGGAACTAATTTTCACAGCTGCTATGGATTACTTCTTAGTAATCTCGTAACGCAGTTTGAGATATAATAAAATTGAGCCTCAACACGATTATCTTCGATGTAATCGATATTCTGTTAAGTTATATGTCTACAGCACGCGATCTGATTGATCATAAAAAAATTTTACTCGTATCAAAATAAAAACTATGTATTTAAAAAGTATAAGAAAAAATGGTCAAAGTACCTAAAAAAATTCGACATTTCGGATCGGAGTATCCTAAAAGTCTTTTAGCATTCTGTCTATATGATTCAGTTCCAAAATCTTAGATTTTCCAATGTCTTATAAAACCTACTAAGAGCGTCGAAAAGTTAGATCTAAAGATCTAAGACTTAATGGCATTTATTTTCAATTTCAGGCCATGAAGGACATCAAAATAAAGGACAAGGCGGCGGACGAAAAGGGTTGCCGTAAAGCGAAAGTACTGAAAAAGTTGTTGTGGTTTGGTGGAGTGTCGAGGAATGCTGTGGTCGTGTGCTTGGCGTCACTCATAGCTTACTTCGTCTATGAAGATAAATATAACCCCTTCCTTCTTACTGGTTAGTATCTATGGCTTTACATTAATATTGACAAACCACTTTTAATGATAGGTGTAACATGACATGGTATGGATATGTGACCATTATTAACTCCTATAAACATGTGCAGCCAGTGCAGATACATGGTGCTATGAGATTTATAGTTCAGTGGGAATGGGATAGTAATCCGACGAGATAGAGAGCTCGTAGGAAACATCATCCCATATGCTAGATTCTAGGGTATTAATGTGTGAGATAAACTAAACTTCCACAAGTTGGAATATTGCGTATTGAAAACTTAAGCCTTTACCCTTAATTATTTGACTTATTTTATAAAAATAGAATGTTGAACACATTTCATGAAACAAGTCTTAAAAAATAGGTACTTAATGTATTTTTTCTTTTCGTCTTCTCGGGCTAAAGTGGTCGTGTCCGGCCACTGCCTTCCTGGCCTTGTCCTTTCAAAAGAATAATAAACGTAGCGATTGTCGTCGTCAGGCCTAGTTTTACAATTAATTGATATACAGATACAGGGAACTTTTATACTAACGTTTTATTTTAGTACTTAAGACACCAGATGGCCTTGTACCAAGTTATAAGAATGGTTTAGATTTATTTTGTTCTTTTATAGTGTTAACTAGAAGACTTTACGTAGTTATAAAGTTGATAATAGATTTTATATACAAGGCTTATAATTATATACTATGCCGTACTACTTAGAGTATTATTTGTTTGCACTTTACTCCGCATTAAGATATTCCCTTGAAATCTATAAAAAGTAAAGGTACAAATAAATATCTGGCACTCGTGTAATTTATGGGAAAAAGTAAAATGTTGACTTCTATAAGTAACTGTTTAATCAATAAATTATTTATTTTAAATATTTACTGTGACTTTGCATGGAATGTAGCCGATCATTGATTATGTCTTAAATTCGTTTTATAATAATTTATGTTTCTTAAGTTATTATGCATTTTTTGTTAAGTAATCGTCGGCGAGTAAACTATAAGGAAACGCATTTTTAGCCATTTATTTGCAGACAATTGGATTTCCCCAAAGAGCTATAAAGTAGTATGACGTATTGTAGGTGTATTTATTTTATTAATACCGAGGTGAAGGGTACGCGATATACATTATTTAGTAGAACAACATACCGCTTCGTTAATCTAGAAGTTATAAGTTTGACTACTAAGAATGGGGTATGAACACAGAGTACCTATGTATATAAATTTAAATTAGATATAAACGTTTAGATAGCGCCATCTAAGTACTGGGTAAGTAAAAAAGACAAGTAGTACATTACAAACTAGATTTATCAATATTTAACTCGTCGAGTACCGGTTTTGTAGACACAATTATAGAACAATAGGTTGCGGTCACCGGTGACAGCTTGGTGTGTGACAGTTTAATTAAGTATTGAATAATTTTGAACATAATTTTGAAATTACAAACCGTGTACTATAAAAATAGTGACTTTTTGTTGTACCTACGTTCCACTGTATAGATATCTAATTGTTGATGTACTCGTCATAAGCATACTTTTTGCTTATTTAAAATTCCTCGAAACGTTTTTAATCCCATATATTTAATTGAGTACTTCTAAAGTTCCTAATTTGAATAGTTATCCGGTGGCATATCACATGAACGAGGAAGGTTTTTAACCGAGTTATTTAGCAGTTTGCTAATGTTATATTTTTCTTGAATTTTATTATTGTTGATTTCGTTAGGTTCTTTGCAGGATAATTATGACTATTTGAGTGCTATTCAGATGTTATGAATGTCAGAGCTAGTAGGAATCGTGCAATCTGTTCTCTATAACCTCTTTAGAAATGATATGATGTGACATTCGTAAACCCGATGTGGAATTTTACACCTTTTTCCATAGAAGTATTATTGATTTCAACTTTTGAAGGTGGAAATCTTCATGACCAATTCTAAAGACGGTTTTTTCAGAAACGCAACTCATTTGGTGTACCAACTATAGTATTACATTTAACTTTTCAGGTACCATAACACCAGGTCTACCGCAGGTTCGTCCGCCAGTGTTCCAGACAACTGTTGGCAACACTACATACACCGCTGGTGAAATGTTGTCTCACCTAGGCTCTGGACTGGCTGTGGTACCCATAGTCGCTATATTGTCTAACGTTGCTATTGCTAAAGCATTCGGTAAGATTTTTTTAATGTTTGCATTAATTTTTATATTTTTTAAGGACACTAAACACAATTTGTTTTGCTGAACACAAGTTGAGCAGCGTAATAAACTGAAAAAGATAAATCATTAATAACATAACATAATATCACGCTTTTTATCCCCGAAAGGGTAGACAGAGGTGCACATTACGGCACTTAATGCCATTGTACAATGTAACACCCACTTTCACTATTTATGTTATGAGTAATAGGGGGTGAGCCTATTGCCATATATCGGGCACAATTCCAGGCTCCGTGCTACTACTGAGATTTTTTTTTAAAACCCAGTAATACTTGCCCTACCCGGGAATCGAACCCGAGACCCCTTGCCCGGCAGTCGCACTTGCGACCACTCGGCCAACGAGGCAGTCATCAAATTATTATCTAAAATTACTTTGTTCTGACTTTGTTTTTTTTTATTTGTAAATACAATACGCTATAATTTTTCCTTTAATTAGTCTTCCCTATAAGTCAAATTAACTGACTTTACCATTGAGAAATAATAATAAATCAATAGTTAAGTGTTGTTCTCGATTATTTAATCGTCTGGTTTTGTAGTAAGACATCCAGATAATTCCGAAATATAGGAGTAGATAATTATTTGACTTTAAAAAAGAATAACTGAATTTGTCCGTACCTCATAACAATACCAGGGTGTAATAACTTAGTAATAGCTGCGTTACCGAGTTGGACCGAGTCGTGATAATAAGTACAATAATAACAAACATGCCACGGCGAAAGCAATAATGAATTTTCGTTCCCCGTCGTGTCTCTGAGGTGATAATTAAATAGCAATGTTCTCGTTTCGGGATGTTCCTCTGTTTTTGTGTTCTCCTAGAGTACGTTTATTCGCTTCGTTGCGTTTTCATTGTTACTTGGACATTCCAATTCCCACATCAATGAACTTCTAAATATATTTTTGTTGATGGTATATTTATACCCGTTCTTTGGTTATTAAGTATTGATTTATGAAAAAAAATAATAACTTGGTTGTAAGTGTACGAACGCTACTAAAACAATGCTGAACGTGATTGTAGTTTGGAGTTTTAATTTACATTATATTTCTACCTGAACATATACGATACTATTATAAAAAAATAATTGTACCACGTTACAGGAAATTGTACTTACACACAATCACATCAAGTTTCGAGACGATGTATTTTTATTAACTTAAACAATGCTGTGTTGTCGAGAATATTTTAAACATTAATTCAGGTTGGACACTTCATTTAATTCATATTATTGTGTTAAAAACTTTCAAATATTTAATTTGGCATCGTGTTGAAGGTGTTACATATTTTATAAAATAATGTATTACAGTTGCCAAAATTCGTGAATGAAAAACAATTTCCATGTTTCTTGTAGAGCATGACACGATGTTACCTAAGGATTTACAAGAGGTTTAATTAAAAATGTAATTTCGTAATTCAGTCACATCTTCTTGAAATAGACGAGAGATCCTCTAAATGTAGATAGGATATCGTGAACACGTTGTATCCCAGTGGACACTATGATACTTAATGACTTATTAATATTCCCTAATATTCGTCGATAATAATGATTAATATTCCCAGATTATTTCGACATATTCGTCGAAATATACTGCATACATTTTTATGAACACCTTTAAAAATTCAATATCCAATCTGTTGACATTTATCCCAAGTAAATGCTTTTAAATAATTTGACAATACCAGTGATGAAGCGTAAAAATGTTTACAGCAAACACATTGCATATGTTTGCCGATACGATTTTACAAAAGAGATGTCTGTCGATTCACGTCAGTTAAGCCAATGTGAAATTTATTCAAAATTCCATGCAATTTCAACTGCCAAGTAAAAATGTACGCGGGTTTGTTTATCCAGTTTCGTTTCGTTTTTACTGAATGTGTACGAACGTGGCCCGAGCTGATAGATTTATCAACGGTTCAATATGATTTGAAGTAAATATTTGCAGATTTTAATTTGCATATATTTTATCGTTTATTTTTCTTCTCCAAGTGAATTGGTTTTAAAGAATTGATATTATGTTCAGGTTTGACTTAATCTTGTTATCAATATTCGTCTGGCCTTGGCACGAGAACTAGAATCTTGATTTGTTGGAGTACTTCTTCCGATTTAATTGACTAGAGACTGGACCAATGAAGTAGTCAGAAACACGGCTTTCGAACGAAAATTTAATATTGCTATATCTATCAAAGTAAAAACAGATTTCAATAAATTGTTTTAAAGTTAGAGTACTATCGACATCCAATAAATATGAGTTTGATAACTTTGATAGTTTTATTACTTTGAATGTTTAAATTAGTTGGAAGATGGTATCAGACTGGCCACGTTAGGTCGACACAATCCATTGAAATAAGTAGAGAATATTGTAAATCAACTTTGGCAGACTTGTTCCATACTATTGCTCATAATTGGACGAGCTAATTGAGTTTATAAACAAATTGCTATCTTGAATTTGAAACTTGACTTGTTCATTATAATAATAACTGAATTTATGTTCATACGATGATTATAATCGAGGTGTTATTGGATTAGCGCTGTCGGCTTATAAACACGATTCTGAAGGAGAATCCTGATAACATAATAGTCTGATGTGACATGTCTACAATTGTTTGCTTAAACTTTGTCTAGTTATAAGTAAGTACTTATCATACAAAGTCACGCCTGTGTTACTTGAAAGGCAGGTCTTTCTCTCATGGATTTTTTTTAATCGGGTACTTATACTAATAGAGTTGAGTGATACCACGGCCTCACAGAAAACTGACGTGAAACAATGCTTGCGTTGTGTTTGAAAATCAAACCTAACTTCTGCTAATTCGTACTTAGTTAACTAGACAACGAGGTACTATACTTCATCTCGTAAACACAAGGAGAGACATGAATAGAGAATACTATACTGCAAAATGTTTAGACTTCAGTAGTTGAACAGCTTCTTTTATGTCTTTTTAGTTAGTATCATGAAAGAGCTTTGTGAGCTTGTTAAAATGTTCGCATCACTACCTTAATTTATACATATACATAATGTTCAACAAGATGTATATCCTTTACGACTGGGTGAAATAAATCACAATAATAAACAGTGAACTGACACAATGCTCGCCCAAAAAACAATTCTCAATGGTTAACAAAGTTGATAACTCGATAATATTTCAGCTAAGGGGAAAACTGTGGATGCGACACAAGAAATTGTGGCTTTGGGCGTTTGCAACATTGTCAGCGCTTTCTTCCGTTCAATACCTGTGAACGGCTCGTTTTCCCGAAGCGCTGTAAGCGACGCCTCCGGAGTCAAGACACCTGGCTCAGGAATATACACGGGTAAGTACTTAGGACGTAGAAATTGGCTAAATGTGCTATTCGTTAGACTAGCACATTACTCAAACATAATTTTGGAAGAAATACGGCGAGCAACTGGCTCGTGTAAAAGGATAAACGTGTTCAACGTATGTAAGTACATTTATTACGTGGATTCTGTTAAGATTATTGGGGATTCGTGTAATAATTAAGCTGGTTTGTACGGTTGATTTATTGGAGATTAGTACAAACTGGCTATGATTAATAGTCGCTGTTAAAAGAGAGGCTCGATGAATTCTCGTCAATGTCCCATGAGAATTTAATTACTGAACCATTTGACAATTTACGAGAACAGAACATATTAGGCAGATAAAAAAAATATCCATAAAACGCGTGTAGATAATATTATGAGGTATATTGAAGTAGTTAGGTTGAATGATAGGAATATTTGTAACGGTTTGTTTTAAGTCATAGCTTAGCTTTGAAAAATGTCTATCGAAAACAGAACGATATAAAACCGAAATAAATTCAGTACGACTTTTGCTACCTCAATGTTTGGTTATTTACAATTATCATTGTTTCAATTTATTTCATGGGAATTCGTTAACTGTTAACTTTCTTATGTTTTGACGATGGCTTCAGGGGCTTGTTATCGTAACATCCCTTCCGTGTTTAGTGAGATCTTGACTGCTCGGAATGCTTCAAGTGGAATAGTCAATTTTGATTTCCTGAAAACATCGTATAAATTGTACGTAGTCCATTTCCCTCTGGTTTTACAATCAAGTTGGACTGGGAAACAAACTTTAGTCGTAATGCTCTAGGTAGAATTGTAATTTCATGCATCGTGCACCCGAACGTCCGCGTTTGTCAGTGATTGCATTAGCTCCTGCGATATGATAGAGGGGAGTCGAGTCTCGTACTATCGTGAGCGTTCTATCGAGTTATAATTGAACATTTTCTATCAGAAAATCTTAATTGCCCTGTTCAACCTAACTAACGTAACCGGGACCGCAGGAATTGGGTTACGAAAGTAGTTTACTCTAGATCAATGAAGCGCTTTGAAAAGTTCATTAAAAATATTTTCAACGTAATCTTGAAAGTGGATTCTTTGTACTTGGGTTACTAACTTCATCTAAAAGTTTCCACTTTATAAAAAGTGAAAATGAACTAATAATAATATTTAATCTTTTGACTAAAAGATATAAAGTTGTGATGGTTTTAGAGTCAATTTTCAGTTTTTTGTCGCTCCCGTCGTCTTAGCTGAACTGAGATAACACTTGCTTTATCGTTGCCATTTTATATCACACTCTATTTTTCTTCACGAATACTTTTCCAACGTTTTGCTTTTGTTTCGTTGTGTCTAGTTTATAGTAGTATGTCTTATTTTATACGGGTTATGTTTTGTATTGTACCGATCTATATTTGAATGCTTGTGTACGGTATTGGCTTTTGAATTTTTCATTTACTTTTATGTCGTTTTTGTAAAATAATTTTTAGTTAAATTTGACAAATGGGTGATAGAGTGAATTCTTTACAGAATGATTTTGTACTTACCTTTTTGAAAGTTGCGTGACAGAATAATTTAAATGGTTGGTTATGCAGTATAAAACAACTTTTATATATCAAAATACATGTTGACATTCTTAAATATGAGTTATTTTTTTTTAATCCTGTATGTAGGTAGCATCGTAGTCATTTGAATTTTTAAATGCCTTGCCATAATTTACAACGTTTGCCAACTCTTTAACTTGACTGTAACTGATACGGATTCATTTGCATTGTTTACTTTACAAACTGAAATATGTTTTTGGTCCTCACTAGATATGCAAATTAAAATAAACTGGCCGATGAAAATATGCCAGGACGTTGTCCCTTTTAGACTAAATTATGTAAAGATGTGAAACAAAGATTTGGGTTTCGTTATTTATTATCGTTTTATTTTTATAAAGATAAGTGCAATACAGTGATATCGTAAATCCTGTGCCGGGCTATCTCCCCGCCTCCCAGAGGTCAAAGATCGTGTGTCGCATTATGTCAACCTGCAAACTTGCTCTGTTTCGACTTTACATTATTCAGGGTGTTCCCAATGAATATTTACTCGCCCCAATTGAATCTCAATAGAGTTTTGTTAGTCCGACATTAACATTGCGGCTTGGATTATTTGGAAATCAGAGTAATCCTCAACTTTCGTATAAATAAGTATTTTTGGGTGTCTTTAACTTGATTTGTGGGGAACAAACATTTTATGTTCGTTGTGAACTTGTTTCATGTAAACATTTTCCTCTAATTTCCAAAATTACAATATGAGTATCTTTCATAGTTAGTTTGTATTTATTTGCTATTTTAAAGCGGTTCGCTCTTTGATTTAGTTTAGACAATAATTTATTATGTATTCAGCAAAGTGTTATCGTTTGCAGATCCCAAAATAGAACCAACAACAAAACAATGAATCGCCATTGCTTTGCTTATTTACAAATAAATGCAAACACAATAATGGTTCGCAAACGTAAATGTTTCTCTAATCAATTGAATAACTCTGAGATTACAATTGCAAATGAAATCCTATAAATGATAAATTTATCGTTTACCACGGTTCTAAAGTCAGTCAGGAGAAATCCTTCTAGATTTCGTCGAATCTAGAACGAGTCAGAGTGATTTGTGGCTTTTCTAATGTTCGGGACGAGAGTTCTCCGGCTTTTAATCTTAGGATTAGTTTTAACAGAAATGGGGTGTTTGCAGTAAGACAAATGTAAATCCCGCGATATAAATCATTTTTACCATGTGCGACAACAGCGCGAGGGAGTTGTATGTAGTGGGTACCTACTTCATAAATCTAAAAGTTTGCATCGTAGTTTACTGTCACAGCCAAGTTTCCGTGGTTTTACAATTTCAAATATACGTCTGAAGTATCAGGAAGCTCCCTTCATATATGTGTGTCGGGTGAATTTGTGGCTACATTGTATTGAATGCACTCACCTTTTGTTGATTTATTCCGATTCTTGGCTATGATTTTAGTATTCGACTTGTGTCTAGGTAGATATGTTATGCCAAAATACATAGAACGCCTTTAGCCCATAAATCCCCAAGCGGTCACCGGTGACCGCTTTCCACTAATATTACATTACATTATAGACCTTATTTCTAATGTTTAGAGACGACTTTTGTATGACCAAATTTAGGGGATGGATTTCAACGGGCTAGAATTGATCTTAATTATAATTTCTATGTGCAAACTTTTCCAATAAAAATTGACAACTTTTATTTATTTCAGTAATTTATTGTAATGTTTATTGTTGTTTTGAACAATTGTTTTTTGTTGTATATTAATACTTTTTACGTAGGTACTTTAGTCTTAGTTCCAGAATAAAGATTGTTTAAAGTACTTACATAAAGCGAAATTGAATACAAACATTCCTCATCTATTGTCGCACAGTAGCACCTCTTGCTTGTAATCATAATAATAGCTGTGCAATTAGCACTCCTGTTAATCTCTCGATAGATTCTGTATTAATTGGGCCAGCTATGTAGGTGTGTTGAAATATAGGGACGTTCGTACTTAGTAGCTATGAATTATTGATATTAATTGTTACGACCATTTGTGGTCCTGTTTAATAAGACCCGACTTAGGTACGTTCCAGTTGTATAATGCTCTCTGTGAAATTAATAACCGTTTATACGCAGTAATAGACAAGAGAGATGAGAGAGGTATGCGGAATACCGCCGCAATCAGTCATTCAATACAACTTACTCTAAACAAGATTGAATTTCTGTGCCGGCGACTAGTTCGATGCAGTTTCTATTAAAGTTTGATGTTACGAAATTCTAGGTAATGCACGTGGTTTTACTCCGAGATATCTCGCGCAGAAGTTATCTTTATGGTTAAAAGATGTAATAACTCACGTCGACTTTTTGGCTCGCCGGAGACTGCTGGAAATATGTCATTGCTTTCAGAGGATTTATTTAAACGTTACGCCTTTACGTAATAAGTGTGCTGTCTATCAAATGCTCTCGTTATATTTCAGTTGAGAGGTAATCTTAAGTGTTGAAGTTTATATTGCTTCGATTAAAGTTAGGAGAAAAGAACTTTTAAGAACATATCTCAAGTTTTCACGCAGGTACTTAAAGAATTCTGAAGTTGTGTTTATCGGGACTGTGCGGAAAGTTGATAAATAAGATCAATCCTTTCAATATATTATATGTTTATGTGATCAGGTATAATAGTGATATTGACGCTGGCGTTGCTGACACCTTACTTCTACTTCATACCCCGCGCTGCACTCTCTTCGGTCATCGTCTGTGCTGTTCTACAAATGGTCAATTATGAAATTATCAAAAAGCTATGGAAAAGTAGCCGTAAGTATAATTTACCAGTTATTTATTTTAGTTTTTTTTTTCTTTTATTCAATTACTTAGTGCTTTTCTTAAATTTTTAAGTGTCCAACATCATTATTATGAGTTTTCGTACAGCAGCCATTTTTATTTACAAAGCTCTTTCTAAGGGTACTTATCTCGTAAAACATTCATCAAAATGAGATTTAAGGTTGGCAGAAGATACTCGTAATTTTACAGCAACGGCTTTCAACGTGCAACACTTTAGAATGTTTCGAATAATTTGAATGGGAGGAAAATCAAATATTTACCTACTATCGTATTCCATTAAATTCCATTTTCGCATTCAGCGAGGTACTTGGGAGACCCTTTGTAATCCCACTAAAGATTATAATGTTATTCCACTTGGTGGTAGACGAAAGTTCAAGAGTTGCCAAGTTTCTCTCATTGTCGCCCTTGTTATTTCGTGCGTCTTTACCCTCGACTCTGGAAGAGTAAGAAAAATACCAAAGCGGTTGGCAAACTTTCATAAGTGTCATGGTTAATGGGAGCAGATAAGGTCGAAAGATTTTGTGCTGATTAGTGAACCTCTATTTGTTCCTTTAAGGAAAAAATAAAGTTTGTTAATACCTACATAATATGTTTGGTTTATCTGTTTTATATATCAAGGTTTTGATTAGCAATAAAAGTAATAATTAATTAAGAAAAACAATAGGTATTTGTTTAGTTAGTCAGCATTTGTCAGTAACTTCATATTACTCTATGAAAATAGGGCATAGAGTTCGTAAATTGTTAACTAAATTTTCCTTCATGGTTACTCAGGCAAAGAAGTGCTCATTTAAACTAATAGCTTCCAGGGCTTTGTCTCAAAACCTACGCCTAAACTAAGCCTACGCTTAACCACAAATTTGTAAATGCAACACGTATTTAACCTAGGAAGCTGCTTAAAATTAAGGAACTGGCTGGATTAAGTTCATTAAGTCCCCGTCAGCGGAACTGAAAGAAAATTTTTAATATAGCAGCATGCTTCGTTGTCACGAAGGCTAAAGCTGTTTTAATTAAAATGTGGGCTCAAATGAATAAGCTTATGTGATGTTAATGATATTTTTACATAATATTCATTACTTTGTGTTGTGTATGGGATAGACTTTGTTAAGCTTCCCGCTTCCGTACCGGTTAGCTGGTACATCAACAACGCGCTGTAGATTATTTCTAGCAGTAAGTAAGAGGATTAGAGTTATAGCCGCTGCGATGTCGGTTCATTAGTGACTGCAGCTGATCGAGGTCGATTATAACGTCTTAGAGCGATTAATGTTCTCGTGGTAGCAGGACAATGGGATAGAAAGCGAAAAGGATTTAGTGAACGTCATTGTTTTATATTTTGTCTTTTGACTCTGAACGCAGCTTGCTAAATAACTATTTGATGGATAAAATAAGGATTTTCTATTGCTTAATCGTAGGTATTTATTTACTTTTTTTTTGGAATAAGCAGGTTAAAAACCAGGCGGATCACCTGTGGGTAAGCAATCAGCGCCACGTGTTTGCGTTACGGGCCTTTTGGGGATTAGTAATTTAAGGATTCTTGGGGATTTGGCGTTTGGGGAGATTGGGGAGGGGGGTAATTTGGCCTATCTACTAAATAAAATAGTTATTTAATGACAAACATATACTTTTCTCCAGGAATGGATCTAATACCGCTATTCGGTACCTTCCTATGCTGTCTATTCTTGGGCGTTGAGATTGGCCTGGTCTGCGGTGTGGGAGTTGATGCGCTACTACTTCTATATTACCATTCACGACCACCTTTAGATGTGCAGTACATTGATGTAAGTAAATTATGTTATTTTAGCTATACATATAGAATGTTTAGAACAAGTTTGAGTCTCCTAATTTATAAGACGAGCAATGATATTATTTATGTATTGCTGGTTTTTCGTGCAGGCGATATATATTCGGAAGAGTTCCTATCGGTAGTTCCCGTGGTTAATGAGATTGCCAAGTGTTGTGCTTTTTGCAGCACTTAATGAAAACCCTTTAAAGTCACATTTAACTTGAATGTAAGTTACTGAAATGACTTGCTCGTATTTAATAATATTTTTTTGAATTTATGCTTTTCTTTGTCCAATAATTTCTTAATGGAGACAAATTATATAGCGCAATGCATAATATTTTTCTCCTTTTTTTAGCATTTGGCATCTTCGATATTGTTGTAATTATTGGAGAGTTTGGCAAAGTTATTAAATAGGCCAGACTTAATAATAAAAACTTTAAAATAGACACTAAATATTATTTTTAAGAAAGGTACAATGACGATGCGCTTAAGCAGGACTAGAGGCCATGATAGATATTAGTTATGTTGACAAACTAAAGGTAAAGCTACAGGTTCAAAGAGGAAATTATAATATACACCACAGATTATACCAAAGATAAACAAGAAACATGAAAACAATAAATTAATTCTTCGTAACAATAATAGTTTTTAGAGATGTAGCTGCGTAGTGTGAAGTGGTCACGTTTTGTCAGGTGATGAGATGTTCCTGATTTGTGGCATACCACAACGCCCAGTCAATAAATCAGCCAGTAACAGATTGTCGTTTGATAATTGCGCTCATTACATGCCTTTATTTAAATGGAAGTACAAGCGAATGATACTTCAACATATTTTGACCCTATTTTTTCATGACAGTGTACTTCATTATTTTTTTGCTGCTACATTTTAGAACAATGTAGTTTTACATGATAACATAACATAACATCACGCCTTTTTATCCCCGAAGGGGTAGGCAGAGGTGCACATTACGGCACTTAATGCCACTGTACAATGTAACACCCACTTTTCACTATTTATGTTATGAGTCCCATGTAAAAAGGGGGTGAGCCTATTGCCACATACCGGGCACAATTCCAGACTCCGTGCTACCACTGAGATATTTGAAAAATCCCAGTAATATTTTGCCCGACCCGGGAATCGAACCCGAGACCCCTTGCCCGGCAGTCGCACTTGCGACCACTCGGGCAACGAGGCAATGATATAATCATTACATAATAGTATGGTCAAAAAGCCAGGCATAGGTCAAATTCGAAACCAAAGTTCTATTGAAATATTTAACTCGCCCAAAGAATAAAAAGAACCATATAAAGCTAAATATTTATGTCTATCCAGTACAATATAAACAGTTGAATTGGTAGGAAGAACAAATCGTGTTAGACAAAGTTGAGCCACTAAATACTTAACACTGAATAAAACAGCCAAAGCGTTTCAAGTCAGTTTCGGTGTGAAAAGGCTTTTGCGTACATAACGTGCAACTTTGCTGTAACTTTGAATAAAATTCCATCAAATGTGAGTCAAGCATGCATACAGAAACTTTCCCCTCGCCTTCCTATGCAGACTGCACTGGGTTTTAAGTCGTTCAATAGGTTTTTTCTAAAGCTATTTAGTTAAGGGTTTTATTATAAAAGGACTTTTAAACTGTCAAACACCAAGCGGTCACCGGTGACCGCAACCTATTGTTCTATAATGACGGTACTCGACGAGTTAATTATTAGAGTTGTGTTTTACAGAAGAATTTATAATTTCATAATACGAAGTCGTTCTGCAGCTGATATTTATTTTAAGAATTTAGGATGACATTAATCTTATATTGTTATTCTTATACTACTTATTGCTATTGTTTAGTATCAGGAACTGTGACCACTATACTATAATGCTGTATTTGAATAACAAAATAAGTATCTATTAACTATTATCTTCTGTTTTCCACAGGATGGTGTCCTCCCACCTCATTACGCAATCCGTCCTGTAGGAGGTTTACACTTCGCAGGCGCAGAAAGAGTCCGTCAAAAACTATTTATGCTACAACATAACAAGCCTGACGTTATCCCGGTCACAACCATTCATATTACGAGTAATGGCACAGATAATGAAGCTGCTAGGAATAGTCAGAGAAACATTCCTACTACGAATGGGACAACCAGCAATGGTACAGCTTCAGTCATGAAAAGAAATGACGTCGAAGCTAATGGTGTTAGAACTACAGAACTGTTAGTCATATACTGTGATTCGTTATACAAGTTGGACTACACTTTCCTGCAGGTATGAAACTTTAATTTTTTTCATATATATATATTTTTTTTAATATGGATTCTGATCAAGAATTCATGATGAATGAAAAAAAGTCAACGACTTTATAGTCAATCACCTGCGTCGAAAAATCTCATTAATTCTACCACCATCGTTTATGTTTATCCTGCTGTTTATCGATAAATAACACTCAAACGACAGATCGACGTGGAATGGGAATGGTACACAGATACAATCTGGAATCGATTTCCTAAAATAGTCATTAATTACTTGAGGTACAATCGGTCTGCGACACCCATAATCGTAAAACCAATCAACATAAGGATTACTGAATCCACATCCCACATATTGATACCCACGTGCGATAAATCAAGATATTAACACTCCACATATTCGTGTCGTGATAGAATTTCTACATAATATTATATTTAGTTTAACCGTAATATTGTGTAGTGTAAGAAAATTGATTTGCTTTGGCGTCTGCTTATATACGTTGAGATTTCTCGTACGAAATTACAGCTAGTCTTTTGTTACTTCAGGGTTTAGATAATGATGTTGTAGGTTCGCCAGGTTCTACTTTCGCATACAGGTTCGAAATTCTAATGGCATTTCTATTTTGTGTTATAGAAAAGAGTCAGCTACTTTTTACATAAATATCATTGCTAATCATAGTGCCTCGAGTTTAATTTTCGATTCGATCAATTGTAATAATGAAGATTCCTATTTGAACATCTACAAAATTTACGATCGCGTCTTAGTTCTACGGTTTCATGTGGAACAAAGTCAATCTTTTATTTAATGCCAAATGACTTCGTTTCCAAATTAGCCCATGTCAACATGGAATATATAAAACTTAAAATATATTAAATCATTAGTACGCATAAGCCACAAATATACCCTTTTAGCCAATGTTAGCAAAACATGTTAGCAGTAATGATCACATAATGTTCAGAGTCGGGTCACTAGCTAGGCTAGGCATCATTTAACCATTCATTACGGCCAAATGGCTAGCTCATGTTTTACTATTAATGCTCATTTGTTCTACATTTTAGCTTCTCTAATATTTTCATATACCTATGCATTCGATTAGTGTTAACCTCAGTACTGTGTGAAACTACTAACCGTCTTTTTTGTCGTCTTGAAGACACGCTGACCATAGAAAGTTCCATGTATGGATAAAGCTAGTCTTAGAACACATTGTTTGTGATATTTTTGTCATAAAGCTAATGAGTTTATTTTTTTGATTCGCTGAAATAAAATGTTCTGAACTAATTTACCTGACTAACAGTTATCTTATGTTATATTAAACAATAAACAGAATATAACATAAGTAAAATCATAGGACAGATCTTGTTTATTACACATAGGTATAATAAATTTGCCTTATAAGGACATTATATTATTTGGGCACAAACTTCCGCGTCGCGTAATAAGGGCGGAAAAGCAAATTATTATGATTGTTCAAATTAATTGTGTTTACTTTTAATTAATGTACCGGCCCGTGGTTGTGGGTGTTGAATGAATTAAGAATTACAATGCATCAAAATATACACATTTTGGTTTTGGAGAAAATAGCCTCATGGATAATTTATCTTTATGAAATTCTTGTTTTGACCTAAACATATTATCAGAATGAAAAAAATCTTAACTGGATATCGAAGTAACTTAATTTAATTGGTCTTGGGTAGAGAAAAGCAGAACTGATGTTTTTATAAAACTATAAAATATGGAAACAGCGTTTAAAGGGTGTATATTTCTGAATCCCATTTTGACGCTACAAAAATGTTAAGATTTTATATATACAAAGGATATGTGATCCCTATAAGGTCCGTTGACGATATTACATGTCTATCGCGGGTGGTCAAGTGGAACCTCCATATTCTATTTTCGGGGTTGTTATCACGAAATTATCCCTCCACCGAGTGAGTTTTAGTTGAACGACCTTAGACAAATCACGTGTAAGATATTTTATCTTACTGACTAGTGAATTAGAAATACAATCCCAAATGGTATACGATAGTTAATTATTACTTGGATATTTTATAGTTACCTACCTTAAATTCCAAATGGATTTATAAAAGCAAACGAATAATAGGTATAATGGAGTGAATATGAGTGCACTAATATTATTTAATAAATATTATCAAAATCTCTGCCAGCGTTCTGGGGAACCAAATTATCGTAAATGGATTCTCTTAAAATAATATGAATAGAAGTGAGCCTTGGTTTCGACTTAAAGCCTTTGATGGAAAGTCATTATTTGGATTTCCATTGAATCAATCGGAAATAGGAAAATGTAATACCAAGAAAACTAAAATACAGAATGTTTTTTGTGTACCTAAATTGGAATTATCTGTGCCTTTTGTGAAAGAAAATGGGGAATAAAAGGGTCGGTATCACGCACTTACGTAGGCAGGTACCGAGGACTCTTTATCTTGGAAACTTGATCCACAAAGTACTATTCTGAGAAACGTAAAGCCACCTTTAGTATTAAACTGTTTATACTATATAACTATACTTACTTATTCTTCTTATCAGCCGATACTTCGGGGTATTGATGGATAAGCTGACTATTAAATATGCCCATCTTTACATAAAAACATCGCCCGTATGCCCTACGATTTGTCGCGGAGAACCTAACGGGTTACCGGGGCTCCGGCTCGACGTGCAGGAGAAGAAACGGGGTGGTTTTTAGTCAGTAAGAGTCTGACACTCCCTACCGCCTCTCCCAGGCGGGAGCAGAAATTTGATGATTGCCCCCTTAAAAAAAATACCCTACGATTTAGTCCAAAAAATATTTTATTACTTGATTATGTTTAAGCAATGTTCACTTCACACTATGATATTATTTCACAATCATGTCTTTTTACTGTAATGTTTATGATTATTTATTAAAACGAAGTTAACCTTATTATTAAAGAAAAGGTAATTGGCATCCTGAACCAAAAGCTAAACAAATTGACCTAAATTAAGTCACATGCCTACCTAAATTAACAAAAGATATCCAGCTAAACCAGGGTGTATAAAATTAGCGTCAATTTAATATTCCATTGACCGCAAACCACAACGTCAAATCACATGCAATGTTGATGTGGCGACCGCAACCAGAGTTAAAACGTGCAATAGGCGCGGTACTTGCTGCAAATGTTATTCATATTTATGTGCTCTGATATTTGTACTTTTTATATTATATACTTCGTTTATCTGTTCTCTTACATGCTTATTGGTTTGTGTAGTTAATAGTGTTTAGTTTAGTTTAAATATCCAGTCTTGGTTGGGCGTTTTTGATTTGCGAATAAGGAATTTACACTGTTGCAGATTTTGTAATTGTCAGTTGTAGGTAACTGAAAATTGGTCCAGTAGGTACTGTTGTATAGGACTTGGAATTTGACAAATTAATGTAAAGCTACGACATGGCTTGTCCTAATTTTGTGACAGATCTAAAAAAAGCCGAAGTAATTTGAAGTGGGGAGTAAAAGGGGTAATGTTCATCTTTGTCTGAAGTAGATTTTATCAAAAAGTTCAGGCCACGGCGCCGTATTGTATCCACGGTGTATGTGCATGATTTAATTTTATAATTTTATGTACAAAGTTGATATAACTTTTATGGATGTTACTTGTTGGACGGTGGTGTTTTATAGGGTCATTATATTGTTCCGCGCTGTGCGGGCTGGCTCCATTTAAAGTGCCCATTGGAACATCGAACACGATTCGTATTTCCTGTTTATTAAATATAATATTATTTTGGCTATATTAGTGTGCTCCATCGCAGGTTTTATGGCAAAAAAGTCCGGTTTATAGAGGATGTGTCGCAAAAAAAGCTGCACAGCTTAACTAAAATATTGATAAAACTTGTGTGGTGAGCAGTAATCCTAAAAGTTAATCATAATTCCTCGGAGTACGAAATCGGAAATCATATTGGTTTTGATATATTAATTCAGAAGAAGGTTATAGGCTATGAAAAATCAGTCTGAAATGGAGCACTTGTGTGAAACTGCGGGCGGAGCTAGTTTATTAAAGTATACCTAACCCCATCTAGACTTGAGATCGGTACCTCGCTATAAACCCGAGTTTTATCTAATAATATAAAATCTTGATTCCTAGAGGAGTAGTAGAACGAAGTTACGAAGGCTATACGGGTAAAATATTTGAACGTTAAAATACATATTTGAAAGCTTTCAATATTAAAGTTAATGCAAGTTAGGCAAGTTCGACTTTTCTTTTACGTAGTACATTCTCATTTGGAGTTTTTATTGACAGACACGTAACAGCTGTTATCAATTTATCAAACAATAAGTACTTAGGGCTTTATGAATATTAGTGAGAGTTTCACTGTTTTCCAATGTGTGTAGGTAACTACTGCATGAGTTTTGCTAAAGTTTGCCATTTTATAATCTTGAATTAAGAATGTTCTCATAACCATTGTTGCCATTAGAAAATTAAATGTTCTTGTTGTTTTTAACAATAAAGATTATATTGAATAGAAAGTTTTCTTAACGATGAAGGTATTGAATATTCAATATAATAAGCGGGTCTTAAGTAAAACTAGTCTCTGCGTTTTACATGATAATATTTTCTTAGCTCGTCTTCACCTTAAGATTCTGTTTAAAAAGCTATTATTGAGAGTTTTGAAGTTAGAATACAGAATTATTCGTATCTACAATCTAAAAAGAATCAGATATTTTAATAAAAATACCTGAATAAATAACAGCATCAATTAACATTCTAAGAAACTAAAAGAAATTTATCATGTTATTCAAAAAAAGATATTCATTTTTATTAATTAATAATAATAATAATAATAAATCTTTATTGTCGCAAAAGTTATACAGTTCTTTGGGTGACTTATATCTAGACACAGGTTTAAAATGTAATGTGCTATAGGTACTGATGCTGTCTCCCAAACTAAGCGAAAGCTTGTATTTTGGGTGGCAGTGTTCAGTCATTTAATGAGGCTCAATGATTACTGTTTAATATTTATGCATGCGGGTGAACGTTGTCGCTGGAGATTC